TTATTTATTGTTAGAGAAAGGGCAAGAGAAAGGGAGAGAAACATTGATGGGTGAGTGAAACATTGATCAGTTGCCTCGTGCAAGCCCCCAGCTGGAGACCTAGACCACAATGCAAGCATGTGCCCTGACTAGGAATGGAACTGGCGACTGGTGACCTTTCGGTTTACAGGACGGTGCTCAATCCACTGAGCTACACTAGTCAGGGCTTCTAACCAAATTTTTTATACTATCTACACCCAAAATAGAAAAAGAATTAACTGATGGCTCATGATCCTGGGGAACTGCAAGAGATCCTCAGCCATTAAAAATGAAGTGGTATCACCCTGGACTCAGTGGATTGAGTGCTGGCCTGTGAACTGAAAGGTCACTGGTTAGATTCCCAATCACAGCACATGCCTGGATTACAGGCCAGGTCCCCATTGGGGTGTGTGAGGCAACTGATCAGTGTTTCTCTTTCTCCCTCCCTTCCCCTCTCTCAAAAATAAATTAAAAATTGAAGTGCTGTCTGCATGGCCCCAAGTTGTTTGGGCCTCATCCTGCAAAGGAAAAGGCCCCCTGGGTTGCAGGTTCAGTCCCAGGTCAGGGTGCCTAGGAGAGGCAACCAATTGATGTTTCTCTCTCACATCAGGGTTTCTCTCCCACCCTTCCCCTCTCCCTAAAAGTAAATAAAATCTTGTTTTAAAAAGAATGAAGTTATATCAACTTTCTGAGGCAGGAAAGTGGGTGGTACATATTAGGAAACTAACAAGAGTTGAAACAAAAAATTTTTTAGTCATTGAATGGGTCAACAGGAAAATTCATTAACCAAGTATTCAACTTCCCAAGTATTTCAGTTAAGCCCTTTTATGTCAGTGGCTTAGTATACCTGTTTTTAATTTAAAAGTATAATTCATCTGCTATTTCTAAAGTATTACGGACTCCAAATTAGAGAACTGCTTAACATTTTATTCTATGCTTATAGCTACCATAAGTGTTAGATTTCCTGAGATAAGCCCTGAATCAACTATTCTATCCCTTTGCCCCTGAAGAATCAGACTCCCAAAATTGGAATTAAACCTCCCAGACAATACCCTAAAACTGCATAAAAATCCTTTGTCAGACCACATATATGCTAGTCACTATTTCTGCTCTTTCCAGCTTTTATATTCCCATCCCAGGAACCCAAGAACCAGCCTTAATACTTTTGCCCAGAAAATTGCTCATGAGAAAGTGAAAACTTAGAGAAACAGGTGTCTAAATGCAATAACTTTGCTAGCAAAAACAAAAAAAAACAAAAAACCATTTTCTCTTATGCTCACAATACAATGTTAATTAATACTAAGTTAAAGAATTTGTTCTGAATTTGATACCTAGGGTTTCCAGTGAGCTGTCTGTAAACACTATGAGTTCTGCTTTATTCCTTTGACCCCTCTACTCATTCAAAAATGACCAGTTAAATTAACAGAGAATATGTCCTAAAATTACCTTCACTGGAACCTAGTGACCTGTCCATAAACCTGGAAGAGGTCATGTAGAAGGAATCTGTTAACACTCTCCCCCCCTCAGGAATTCCTGGGGAGCAGGATAAGATTAAGGCTCTTACAGTTCTGTCTGTAGTGACTTCAAGATGACTTCTGCACCCTCACCATTTTACTGACTCTAGCCCTCCCCAACAACTTGACACATCATTTCACAAGATCATTAGGTCATCACTCGTGCCAGGCACTACACTATAGGCCAGGGAAATGGTGAGTTCCAGAATGGACCACTTCACAGTCCAGTGGGGAAGACAGACATAGTTTAACTATATAACTATGAAGGAAATAAATGGGGAGAACTGATAATGGAGAAAGGTTTGCAACTTAAGGTGCTGAAATAAGAATTTCCTGAGGAGGGAATGAGAAAGTTAAGAAACAGTCACGCAAAAAGCAGGGAAAATATCCTAGGCAGTGGGTAAAACATGTGCAATGGCTCTGAGGCAGGAAACAGTGTATTGAGGACACTTTAAAAGGCCAGTTTTGCTGGGGTATATAGTGAGCAACAGAGGGAAATGTGGTTGGGAAAATTAGCAGAGGTCAGCTCATGCAGGGCCTAGACACGCTATTGAGAAAGAGTTGAACAAGGAAGTAATGTAATCCTACTTAACAGCTTTTGAAGATTACTCTGCTGGATTGGTTTAGATGCAAAAACAAAAGCAGGGAGACTAGTAGAAAAGCCATTATGGACATCTAAGAAATGGTGGTAGCTCAGGTACTGGGAACCAGGAACCTTTTAAATGACATCTCAGATTTTAATATGAGCACAAGTTAACCAAAGGAGGAAGGGCACTGCAGGCCACTGAAAAATACGTACATTAGCATTAGATCCCAAGATCATAACCCATTCTGACAAGGTAAATAACCTAGTGTGGCAGTAGCAAAGGGTCTATGACAAGAGTGAAGGCCAGAAGACTACTGTTAGAAAAGTATTGCAGTAATCGAAGCAGGAAAGTATGATGCCCTGAACTAAAGACCAGTGATAACACACCTTTTCCTAAAGGCAGACCCTTCAATATCCATGTGATATTGAAAGTGGTAGCAGAGGCTGGCTGGATTTGAAGAGAGGAGGGCACAGAAAGAGGGAAGAGGAACTCGGGATGACGAGGTTTCTGGCTTTGAGTGGGTAGGGGTGTGAGAAGGGTGAGTTCAGGTCTGTATATGCTGTAATACCAGAAGAGCCATACAGGCAGTTTCCAGTTTAGAAAGAGGCTGAGGTTGAACACGTACATTTAAAAGCCACAAGTGAACAAGCCATAAGACACTGAATGCCCAGTGAAGTACAAAATGAGAAAAGCTTAGTTCAGAACACAGATGTACTGACACCAAAAGGGCAAGAGTTAGAGCAGTTTGTCAACAACCACTGGTGTTTTAAGCTGAATAATTCTGTTACGAGTTGTCTGGCACATTGTAGGATGTTTAACAGCATCCCTGGGCCCTATCCATTACCAGTAGGACCCACCCAGTTATGACAAATGGCTCCAGACATTGCCAAATGTCCCCAGAGGAGAGGGGGCAGAAATCACCCTCACTTGAGACCACTGAGTTAAGTCTCCAGGATGCTGACAAAAAGTTCTTAAAGAGCTTGCTCAACCCATGAGTTTCCTCCAAAGTTCCTGGAGTGCATAGTACTGCTCTTGATTTCTTCAAAGGGCCAAAGAAATTCAAGTGATATTCCACTACATCCATACTTCAGGGCACTGGAATATTTTCATGTACTAGACTGCATCAAATTCATTGATATCACATTTCTGCTATGAGGTTATAGTGGGGGGGGAATGTATTATTATAAACCCTTTTTTCACAAGCATTGTACACAAAAAACTTGAGACCCTGCCTCCCCAATATAGGGTTGTGTCACCATCCTGCTCCTGTAAGCCCTAGTATTTCTCCATCATGAGACTAATACTTCACATTTTCCAAGTTTATAATTTATAGGTCCTTTCGCCTAATCTTCACTCAGTCCTTATGACAAGTTGAACTATCATCTCATTAGCTGAGGAAACTGATGCAGAGGTGTTAAGTAACATGCCCAGTCACATTAAGTAATCAAACTGAGATTGGAACCTCCAAAGTCCATGCTCTAAAGCTAAACCACTTAACCACTATTCCAGATGGCCTCCATTAGACTGCAAGCTCTGAGGAAGGTGTTGGTTCAGTCTTTTCACAATTGTATACCTAGCAGTTGGCTCATGCTTAGCAACAGGATTGGTGCTTAGCTCAAATATTTACTGAATGAGTCTTAGGTCAGACCTAACTCTAACCTATTCCCAGATCTGCACTGAGGTGTTTAAGACACAGAGAGCTCTCAAGACAGTACATTAGGGCACCAAGAGTAAGAAAATGTTTTTCACTCTGACAGGAAATGAGCAGCCACATTGTCTGACAATGTAACCCTGCTTCACTTGCAGTATTACTTTCCTCCTATTGCTTCCTTATCCAGCATATGCCAGTTACATTGAAGCCTCAAGGAAATAGGAGGAAAGTAGAAACAAATTATGGACTGGAATATTTTGCAAAGTGACCAAGTGTAGATAATTTTTTTTATAGGACCAGTTACTGGTACTCAATGAGTTTTCCCAAAGATCAGATAGTTTTTTGGGGTATTTTTTTTTTTCAGTAGTCTCCATTCAAAAATCTTCTAGAAAATTAAGGTGACGACACCTTCTGAGCATACCTACCTCAGCATATCTTCCCTCACTAGCCAGCCTTGGTACCTTTTTGATAAAAGGACTGTTATGTCCAGAAATTTTTGCACAGATGTTGTGACAAGTCCATGCAAAGGGTAACAAGGCTAAGCCAGCTATGCCAAGTATGCAACAAACATTGCTAATTGACCATGTGTATTTTTCTAGGCTGAGGTGTGCCTGTGAACGTTTCATCAGTTTAAAACTTTAAGCAGCCATCACCCCCACAAGATAAAATATTTGTCTTTCCTGCCTAAAGCTACTCTCAGAGGTAACCTGGATGAACTCCAAGGTTATCAGTAACCTCTAAAGGGGAGTGGGCAGAGGGAATATGCTGCAGAGTTCCGCAAAGAATGGCTTTAGTTTACTTCATGTACACACCTGTGCATTGAAATGTCCTTCTTGGAAGCCATGAAAAGTTATAAAGCAATCTGAGCGTTTTGAAAGTTACCCACTCGGCATGGAAGCCACCTCAATGAAAGCATTCATGGGACCTCACACCCTCCCTAACCTAGCTAGTTTATGATCCTCTCCTTCCTATCAAAGCCCCTAGGGAAACCTTGATACAGCACATTTTCAACAAATTCTAACATGAACTTGGGCTTTAAGAACAGGAAGGACGTGTTTTCTGCTCTAGAATGTTGTCTTCTCCAGGGTGGCTTAGTTGTTTACAGCTGCCATTTAACTAGAGAGTACTTTTGCAAGCTGGTCCTCATTCTCTACTTTGCCATATTGACTTATCTAGACATTAAAACTTGCTTTAAAAAAATCAGTAACTGACTTCTGCTGTTTCTTTCAGTTCTTTTGAAGATTATGAAACAGAGGAACCTGCCTCTCCCTCTGAAATTGGAAACAAAGGCAATAAAATAGTAACCTCAAGCCTTTCAGAGAAATGTGGAAAGCTTCAGTCAGTGGATGAAGAATAGCTGCCAACGTCTGTATGAAAGGGAGATAACGTATTTTAAATTTTTTCATGTGAAGAGATGCTCTAATTTGCATACTGCTTTTTAAAGGCTTTGATTTCTGCAAGTGTGTATCTGCACTAGGAACTTTACAACGTTTTTAAGCAATAGATCTGGATATATATACTCAATTTGGGAGACTCTTCCAGTTTGCCTCAAACCTCTTACAGAGCTTTTCCTCAGAAGCAAATACAATTATATACACCACCTTCCAAAGTCTGTGAACTAGCACTCTTCACCCCTGAATGTACCAAGGATCTCTTGGGGACAGTGTCATGCACAGTTCTCTGCACAAAAACAGGAGTTGCCTCTGTTATCTAGCATCCATGAGGCCCCTCAGGGCTCCTATGGAGCCCAGAAGAAAACTTCACTTGCAGAAAACTTAAGTTAAAAAATTCTGGAACTTGAAAAAGCATTATGGGCCTCCAGAACTGAATTATAGCCCTGGCAATAAAAGCACTGCCAAAACATCTCAGAGACTTCTTTTAACTATGCGTGTACTGGAGTTCAAAGAGCTTGAACTTACTTGGTTTAATGTATTGTTTCACAATGACCTGCCAAACTGCTAGTCACTTTACATCCTCAGGTATTGTAACCACTGGGCCTTCCAACCTTGCTGACAAAGCTCTGAATCCCCTCCTCATCCTGACTGTGGGTCTTATATAAAACCTAAAGAAAAAAACTTGTTAAATGAAAACAAGTATGGAATTTGACTCACTTGAAAAAAAAATTCAACTCTCTTATTTGTAGAAAGTTATTGAATGATGTATTAGTCTTTAAATTAGCTGATATCCCATATACACTTCCTGTCAGAAGGCCTACTTGAAGACAAATGATACATGAAATTTCTTACCAGATATATTCCTTTCATCACTTAATATCAGACTAACTCAATGTAAAGGCCTCAATCGAAACATTCATGTTGAAACTTATTCCAAATATTCCATCCACCTCCATATTTATCACAAAAGTAGAAAACAGTGATGCCACCCATAAAAAAAAAGCTATTTCATGTTTAGTATAGTAGTGAATGTGTTCATTATGGAAATCTACATTTTTTAGCAAGTCACAATATAGCCAAATCCTGCAATAACCTTGAAAATTGAAAATAAACTATAGAAAGGATGGAAATTTCTGACAGTATAATAGACAGCACCCAAGCAACTTTTTAATAACTCATCTGTCAAAATCAACTTTTTCCCGACTTTTTTTTTAACCAAGAGTCCTCAATGTCAAAATAGCTTCCCTTCCCACCCTACTTTGGTTCCCTTGCTGGTGTGAAGGCCAAATAATGAAATAAACCTTTGAGCTATAAGGAAAATGTGGAGAAAAGAATTTAGGAAGTGCACTACCTATTGGTACAGTAATAGTTAGCAATACTTCTTGTCAGTATCCTCCCAGGTTCCTGTTATTTTATCTCCACAATCAGAACTGATCTTACCATTTAACTGTTAGAGAAAATGATAGCTATTCCAACTTAGTATCTAATAGTTCACAAAGAACTAAAACTTAAAAGTGACTAAATTTGAGGCAAACACTACATGCTAAATAACCTAAACATACTGGTGAAGTTTTAGGATTAAAAATATTTGTGATACATGACATTTACCATCTACCCATCCAACCTTTACCAGGAAAGGAAAACAATTACTTTATTTCAGATTTAAAAAAAAAACTTAAAAAAGAATACTTTTTTAAAGAAGCCAGATATGGTTTAACGGTTTTATTATCCATAATGATCTAAACTATTTCTACGACTCAGCAAAATGTAAAAATAAAATCTGAATCTCATATATATTTATTTTTTTTAACTTGGCTTTACATTTTTACCTTCTTACTAAAGTCCCTCTTCCTTTCACTTTAGTCAATATTTGGTTTCAACATTCTGTAATATAAAAAAGCAAGCTACCAATATCATTCCATTTAGGGTAAGGCTATTTTAATTTAGGTTACCAAAAGCGTATTTTCAGACATAAGAATGTGTTTCACTGTACTCCTTTCCTAGAGTTGAATGCAAGAAATGTGAATTCTGAGGAACTATGATAGTATATATTTGACTTTCTGATAAAGATCATGCTGCATATAATCATTACTGCCCAACTGGAAATTTCAAGTTGTTACAATATCCCAAGCTCCCTGATAAAAGTTCAAATTGAGGTTTATCATGATCTTAATACTAGTCAATGATTAATGAGTTTAATAGCATAACATTAATTGCAAGGTAATCAAACTAATAAAATTCTGTGTATTTTCCCTGCATCTTATCTATGTCATTGTGTACTGTTCGAAGTGTTTATAAAACTCTAGATGATTAAATACGTCATTTGTCAACTTTTGGAAATGTTAGGGTGTGTTTGGATGGAGAAGCCTGCATGATTTAACTTTTGTTTTTCCCTTTCTCCAAAACTAAATAAAGACAAGTTGTCAAATATGAATCCTGTTCACTAAGACAATTACTACACACTTGTGGTTTTAATCACACTTTGAATTCATTTTTATATCTGGGTTAACATTGTAAACAAGCATGAGTTTCAAAGAGATACCTCTGAATCCTGAGAAAACTATAAAGATCTGTAAGGGTAACACTTCACGCTGAGAAGTCATTTCCTCTGGGGATGGGAAGGAGGATCAGAGTTTGGGAATAAGGGGTTCACAGGGACCAAAGGGAATTTTAGTCTTATATATAATATATTCTTTTATAAGAGTATCTGATTATTTGGGTACCTAAAAAACTTTTTAAAGGAGGGAGAAAAGTTTAAGTACGATTCAAGTATTAGATTCTGATACTACACTTTGAACTTAGTATTTTTTTAAAGGATTTTAGATTTGTTACCTATGATACGGGAAAGGAAATTTTATTTTTCTTATGTTGTAAAGCTTTTACTTTCCTTCTGAGAAGTCAAGAGTGTTGTTTTAAGGAAACTAAGAACACAGTGGAATAAAAATTATTTACCATTACACCTCTGCATGGAAGGGTACATACAGTTAAACAAACTAACAAAAATGATAAAACTGTCAGCTCTAGAAGTTCTATAACCTAAGGTAAAAGATCATTTGATCACATGTTAATAACAAAGACTCAAAAGAACAAGTGAAGATGTGTCATATTAAATGCTATTATTGTTTTGATGGTTTCAAATCCTGGTATAGTACATTCAGTTACTTCAGTAATAGTTCTTAACCATCCCTAGTTAGCCATTGGTCAGCACTCCTAATTAACTCATGTTATAAAGAAAAACAATATAAAAATTAAGGCACTGTAATTAATTATTCTTCCCCAAATATATATGACATATGCCATTCAGAGCATGCTATCCCAGACTCCTCAGTATTCTACAACATAGAATTAGAAAACTAACATTTATTGATAGATTAAGGTGTAATACAGGTTTCCAAAATGTGGCAGTGAGAATACCAGCATAAAAAAGAGAAACTTGTGCTAAAAACAACCTGAATTCATCATTGGCAATATTACATAACAATCAAGGCCCTTGCATACTAATGATTTCCACTTTTTCTATATTGCCAACCTCCCATGCATCCAAAAAAAAAAAAACAAAAAACAAAAAAAAAAAACCCTAAGATTATCAAACTTGGGAAGCAATAAAATATTCTATGATTTTTAAGATCATAATACTAGGAAAGTTTGGGAGATTTGCAAAATATATCCTAATCATCCACGAGTACAATCTCATTTCTAGTCATTTTTGCAGTGATCATTAATGAATAAAGAACAGATTTACAAGTTTATATAGCAGGGCATCTGGGTTTAACACAAAACTGTTACAAACTTTAGGCAAATACATGTTTCATGAGACACTGCTAACACTTAGGAATTAAATAAAATTCTGAAACTTGGAAAGCAAATAAAGACAAGACAACTAAGAAGCATTTTCCACCATTTACTCTTGTTATCAAAAATAGTTCAACTCTTCTTGCAAAACAAAACAAAATAGTACATACTGGACACATACATCACATTTTTCTTCCTATGGCTTTAGCCCACCCCCACCCCACCAAAAGACCAAAAAAAAAAAAAAAAAAAAAAAGCCCAATGACAACAAAAACAACTCTACCTGACCACATTCACAGAAAATGACACCAGGATACACTACAAAACAGAAGGAGGTGTCATCTGCTCTGTGTCCAAAGGTTTCTTATCCATGTCTTGTATTAGGTGAGTAACCATCATTGAACATGCTGTGTGCCAAATCAAAACATAACTTCAGCATATGTCAGATCTCATGAGAGATGGTGAACGTAGAAATTGAAAATTTTCCAGCAGTATTGTTCTTTAAATAAGCACTGTCAAAGCAGCAACTCTTCTTTAAATCGTAAGGTCATTTCTTTACAACCTAGTCAGTTCTTGTTTTATTTGGGCTGTGCTCTTTCAAGCAACTGACTAGATTTCCCTTCAACAGAATGTTTGTGACTCACTTATCTTCCCCATAAAAATTAATGGAAAAGAAGTGCATTTAAACCGAAACACAGTTTGTGCTTTACATGCAAAAGAGCATTCTAAAGAAAATCTTTCTAGTTTCAAACCTACCTAAATGCACAGGCTTCATAAAAAGGCATTTTTATTAGGCCTCTATAAAGAAGCCTTCTTAACAAATAGCACCCAAAAAAAAAAAAAAAAAAAAGCATATTTAAAATAAAGTCTGTGGCAAACTATTAGAGGAAACAATAAATCAAAGTGGCCAATAGCAATAAGTATAATGTATAAATCTGGATACATTTGGGGACATTATTCCAAAATTATTTTAAATACATCCCAATTTCTAAATAAAACTTTTATATATATATTTTAAATTCTGTCACATACTATAGTCTAAACTCAATCAGCTTCAGAATAAAACTGCTCTTCTCCACTTCATTTATCAATTAGAACATTGCTCACAGTGAAGAAAGTGAAGAATTTTTTCCCTAGAAATAAGTCAGACTTAAATAAAAAAGGAGCTCAACTCAGAAGTTTTGTAGAATAAGTAGCTAAACATATGCAGTCTGACAGAATTTCAGTTTGTTCACTTTTAAAAGACAGATTTCTTCAACATTCTAATGAGGGGCAAATTTTCTTTCATAATACTGCTGATTTAATAACTGCTACATACACCAGTAGCCAATTTTCATGATCAGAAATGGTAATGTCAGCACAAAGGTTGAGCTGGACATATCAGCTTTTCAACAGGAGAAACATCAATGGCATCTAAAGCCAGCACTGAGTCTCCTGAACAAACTAATGGCTACTTTTTCACAAAAAATAAGCACAATCTTTATGGACTGACTAAATACCACTTCCTTCCATTTAATCATAAACTTTGATTACGCACAAAGCATGACCATAAACAATGAGGTTAATGTTATTTTCCTTGCCAAAGTTCATTTGTATAAATCAGTTGCATCAGCATTTGTTCTCAAACTATGAGGTTCTGTAAGAACTAAGGACATATAGTTGTAAGGTTACTCCTCCATTATCTGCAAACTATTTCCCCGACACTAACACATATAACTTAGCAATGAAAACACTTGATACAAGTGATCTATATGCAGGAGCTCCGGCAAGTTAAACCAACAAAACCATAGCTGCCTTAAACTGTAGCTATTTCCCTACCAGAGGTAGGTTTAAAGACCCACTGATTTAACAGTCGAATCTCATGTCTATAGCTTCATCCAAACTTTTTTCATCATGTGTACTGGCAGCTAAAAACGTCGTTACTGGGGACCCTGTGACATTAATTACACTGGTGCTGGTACTAGCATTGCGCACAGCAATACTAGTCACATTAATGCCCAAAGTGAGCCTGGTCTGCTCCAAGGCCTTTTCTGGCACAGCAAATGCCTCCAGCTTCTTCTCCCCATTGGCCATATAGGAGTTTTGGCAGCCACGACATATACAATCTAAGCAGGCTTTGCGGTTAGAGTAGCAAGGGCAGCGTTGGCCGCGGCATGTAAGAACACTTGGATTTTGAGTAGCACGCCCACATTTACACCCTTTCTTTTCCTGGGGTTTTTTATACACAGTCTTGGTAGGACTTCCTGGCATAAAATGATGACTAGGAATCTTTTCCTTTACTGTTTTGTCTTTTTTAAGAATACCTGGCTTGGTTTTAGAGTGAGATTTCTTGGATCCATGTTCATGACTCTTTTTCATGCTTTTAGTAGATAAAAGTACAGTTTTGCTGATTTTGGGTGTTGTGCCTCCATTGGGAACAGTTGCTATAGGCTGAAGAGAAATTTTGCTCTCCCGTTTCACTGTCACAGGAGCAGATGCCCCCAGTGTTGGGCCTCGGATAATGGTAGAAATTGGAAGTGGTTGAACTTTCTCACTGTCACTTTCTGATCTGGATCGTTTTCTATTTAATTTTGCTACCTTCGGAGTTGCTGCTGTACATGATAACCCATGAAGTGCAGGACTGGTGGACATAAAAACATTATGGCTAAGAGACTGAGAAGAAAGCTGCAGAAAGGGTCCATTGGATACAGTGGCTTCCAAGTTGGGCTGCAAATTAGGGCAACAAACCTCTGTGTTTGAAACAGTTTCTAGGCTGCGGAGTACTTCCTCAACACTCAGTAACAAAGAGTCACCAGGTTTTATGTCTTCACTGAAACTGCAGATATCAATGCCTGTGGAGCATAAGTCAGTAGCTACCGTGTCACAGACAGGTGGCAAGCTGTCAGACAGATCTTCAGTTTTTATGTCAACAGTGTTACATACATCAATTGTATTTGAATGTTCAGGTGAAGGAATATTTATACCAAATCTATCTATTGAAAGCCCATTATAAGTAGGCAAACCATTGATAACAGAACTGCCAATAGCAATGCTGAGGGTACTTTCAGATATTGGAGATAAACTAGTTTGAGGATCAGTTGTGGGTTCTGAGGTCGAAGGTAAAGGGGAATGTGTCAAACACAAAGTAAAGGATGAATCTGAGGGTTTTTCTGTCTCCTCACAAAGCAATGATCCATCATTAAGCAAAGCCAAAATATCAGAAGAACAGTCGACTGCTTCTATTATATCCCGTGCCAATGTAGTCTGTGTTATATATTCGCATAGTTTTTTGTAGCAGTTCACTAGGATGCTTAATTGCTTGTTTTCCTCAAACTGCTCATAGTCTTTGCACCAACTACATGAAGGTTTCATCATCATTTTCTTGCCTTTACAAGTTTTGCAGACATAGTGTTGGCAGGTGGAGTTGATGGGTGCAATAGGATCTTGTAGCAAATGTCCTACGGAAGGGGGAAAAAAAGGAAAGCATAGATTTTAGTACAATAAATTTACAATTTTCATATACTGAAGATGAGATTTTTAAGTAATCTATTAAAATTGAAATGGGTTAAACTCACCAGACCAGGTAACAAATAAATACAGGGTGGGGCAAAAGCAGGTTTACAGTTCTGAGTATATGAAACAAGAGTTTATTCTCGTATTTTAATTTATTATTGTTATTAA